AATATGAGTACGCAGAGCACGTCTATTGAGTCTCCGCTGTGCCTGTTAGGTTCGTGTTGAATTCATGGACGACACCAGCAGATCCATCATTCGGAATGTGAAGGGGCCTGTCCGCGAAGGGGATGTCCTGACACTGCTGGAGTCTGAGCGTGAAGCAAGGCGACTGCGCTGATCTGCACAGCATGGTAACTCATTTAGTTTTCAGCCCGTCCTCAAGCCCTTGTTGAAGCTTCTCTTGAAATACATTAAACCCCCAGCCAAGAACATTTTTTCACCAGCAGATCCATCATTCGGAATGTGAAGGGGCCTGTCCGCGAAGGGGATGTCCTGACACTGCTGGAGTCTGAGCGTGAAGCAAGGCGACTGCGCTGATCTGCACAGCATGGTAACTCATTTAGTTTTCAGCCCGTCCTCAAGCCCTTGTTGAAGCTTCTCTTGAAATACATTAAACCCCCAGCCAAGAACATTTTTTTTCTTTAAAATGGGCTTCTGGGTAAGACACCCGTCTGAGCCAAAAGTACATGTCTGGGTTTTGAGACTCCTCTGTAGAGTTCCCAGGGCTGTTTGCTTTGAGGCCATAAGAATTTTAACACTGAGTATTTGATTCTTGTGCTTTCTTTTGAAAATGGGGGGAAAAAAATTGTTCTAGAGTAGAGATGTGAAAGGATAATTGGTATCCATCACCCTTAACATAACCGAGTGGTGCTTATTAGGGATGTTAAATATCAGTTAATTGAATAGTTGAGTAACCTCATGAATTCTTATTAGTTACTTGACTATCCTGTAGTCCCAGGGGGTGAGGCCTGCATCCAGTGTGTAGCCCACTCTTGAGGAGCCCCCTGACACTCCGCACTGCTGCCTCTGTATCCAAGGTAGCAGTGTGGGATGCCAGGCAGGAGTTGGTCCATGAGAGGAGTCAGTTTAAAAACCAGATCCCCTTGCAGACCAGCTGCCTGTTACTCCATGCAGCAGTGTGGGGTGGCAGCAGCTCCTGCCTGGGCGCAGTCTGAGCTCCTGGACTTGGCATGAGCTGGAACTGAGCAGAGCTTCCTGCCCACCTGGTTCCTAATACACTTTAAGTGCAGAGCCTGGCATGAATTAGGACAGAGCCGGGCTGCCTGCCCACCCAGCTCCTAAAACACTTTTAATACAGAGCTGCAGCAGGGATGGGTCCTGGATAGTTTTTTAGCTTTAATTTAAAAGCTTTTGTTTGTTGGTTAATCAACTATGCTATTACATCCCAAAATTGCTTACCAGTTCCATTTAAATTGTGGGGGCTGGAACAGTCCCCTGCCTGCCTAAGGCAAGGGGCTGCTCCAATGCTACAGGGGGCATGCTGTAGACGGGCTGCTCTGGCAACTGTAGGGCGTGGTGTACTCATTGTTTTACTGCAGATGTCTTTCCAGACATTTTGGTGGTGTTGCACCAGATTAAACCTTAAATATAACTGTGACTGTTCATGGTTGGGGGCAGCACTCTGGCCATGATTACTGTGTTCGAACTCAACTGTGAAGAATTGAGTTAGCAGTTGACATGTGACCATGACTGGTCTTTCTACACTAACTGCAAAATCCATAAAAAAAATTATGGTTGTTGCTTGTCAATTCATGAAGAACCAAGTTCATTGAATTTCCATTCAAATACAGTAACTTTTTATAATATAGACCATGTGAGTGTGATGGTTGCCCCTCTTTGCACACCTCAGAGGACGGAGCTAGTAGTTTTTAGGGATGTGAAAATGTAACCATGTACACCAGGGCTACTCAACATGCAGCCCATGGCCTGCAGTGCAGTTTGGGTTTACACAGGGCTCAACACACGGCCTGCCAGTGGGATCCTTTGAATGTGGCTGTCACTGGGAACACACTCCACAACAGCGAGTAGATATAATGGTCTTCTATTAAGCATTTTAGTAGTTTCTGGACCGTTGTTACTCGTTAAAAGTGCTATCATGGGTGGAAATTGGGTAAATACTGCATTTTATTAATATCAGCAGAACTGACTTAAATAGGGCCTTCATGTTGTGTAGTCTTGCCTTAATCTTTGTATTCATGCCTATCAATGTAAGAAAAGGTATTTGCATGTGTATATAACCACACTTAAGTTGCGGCCCTTTGCATATGCTATATCATTGTGGTCTCCAGGGCTTCCAAAGTTAAGTAGCCCTGATGCACAAGGTTAACCAGTGAACCTGGGCTCATGGGTTAACATGCACGGTTACACAGGCAGCAGCAAAGGGTGGTAGCTGGGAGCAACCTAACCACTGCAGCTTTTGCTCCAAGTTGCTCTGCAGCCTTTTTGTGTGGTCATAGAGCAAGAGATGAATGATGGGATCCGTGACTAGAGCTCTTGGTGTTATGGTAATACCAATACAAACTGGCTCCAGGCTGAGCTTCAGGTCTAAGAGCCTATTAGTTGTGCAGTTCTGGGTTTCTGCTGGTAGTGTCTTTTCTAAATGTGTAAAATGGAGAGAGCAGCCTGTTTCTGGAGCATGTTCTACTTCTGGGGCTCAGGCATGTGTCTGGGCAATCAACTGTTTTGAAAAGGGCCCAGGATATTCCCACTTCCATAATGGTCTCCTGGCCAAGGAAGCTGTAACTAGAAGTGATTTCCTTGATGATCCAGTTCTGAGTCTCACTTTCTTCACAGATTGCAAGCCTGATAGGACAACCATTTCTGATTTCCACTGATGAAGATGTGGCAGTTCATACCTACTCCATTTGACTTAATGAAGAGGAATGTGTTTTGTGACTAAAATAAAGGATTTTTTTTCTGGTAACATTTTTCCTGGCTTTCAGTTATTCAAGAAACATGTTAGCTTGGTGATGTAAGCAAAACAAAATTCGGCGGGGAGAAAATATTGCAGGTGCCTCCCAGAAGGTATCTCTTCTGAGCTACTTTGTTCCTCATGTTATTTAAAACTCATTACAAGTTTTGTAGCTGAATAGTCAGGCAAAAGATCCATCTGATGAATGAAACTTGATGCTGGAAGCCATTGCATTTCTACGCTTCTGAGCTGAGGCCAACCATATTAAACAAGAAAAGGTATGTGCTGACAACTGCAATCCCCTTTTTGCTTGGGATTCCCACTTTGAGAGCTTCTGGACACCCTTTATGCAAGCTGTAGCATAAAGGGGAAAAGGACCCAATAGACCAGCTTTCACAGTCCAGCACCTTTTTCACAGCTGTGAATTCGGGACCTACTGCTAGAAGCAGCGAGTGCTGAGTGCACAAATACCAAAGAGATGATGCTAGTGCTGAGCTGACTTTCCATAGGCCTTTGCCTAAAAAGCACATCAAGGCTGTGTCTACATTGGCATACTGCCTGTCTACACTTGTGCAAGAACACTGACGTTCTAATGTGTGAAATCAGTGCTGCTTGCGCAAGAACTATGATGCTCCCGCTCAGGAATAATCCCTCTTGCACAATTGTTCTTGCGCAAGAGGCCAGTGTAGACAGGCAACATTAATTTCTTGCGCAAGAAAGCCCGATGGCTAAAATGGCCATCAGAGCTTTCTTGTGCAAAAGAACGTCTACACTGGCACGGATGCTCTTGTGCAAAGGCACATGCCCGTGTAGATGCTCTCTTGCGCAAATACTTAATGTAAGAACTCTCGCGTTAGAGTATTTGCGCAAGGTCATGCCAATGTAGACGTAGCCCAAGAGTGAAGGCTTGCAACTGAGGAAGACTTACATTTCAAGGCTCGATGGGACCCTTTTTGTGAGGCTGACCTGCCTAACAGCTGAGTATTGGGTCCAGATTCCAGCTGCCCCAGTCTAGTCAAGGCAGACAGAATTATTCCAGCTGACACAAAAGCACAAGACAAACAAAACCAGCTCAGACCAGGCAGCCTGGACACTGGTGGTATGTTGCCAGGTTAGGTAAAGCTGGCCACCCTGCTTAGTGGCAGCTTTAAGGACTAAGGGGCTGCCTGTGGCTGAATGTTAAAATAGAGATTTAATATTGTTTTATCTAATTTTAAAAAATAGTGTTAAAATACTGGCCACCAGAAACACCAGTCAAACCAAAGGATTGCAATAGGTGGTACATACAATACAAAGCAAATATAAGCAGCAGGGTTTCAGTACTGGAAAGTTGCTGTGAACATCTTACATCAGTGTCACTCTATAGCAGATAGAGGCTTCTGCAACAAGAATACAAGCCTGGGCTTGAAAGGGATTTAGGCACCTAACTTGTATGGAAATCATGTGCAATTACATGCCCAAACATTTCTGAGGCTCAGTGCTGTTGTCCATTGCTTATCACATGTACAGTTCTCAGCTGCTCTAAACTTGGCTCAATGTCTGGCTGGGACCTAAAAAAACCCAAAACCTGGTCTGGGAAAGTCAGGCTACAACTGCTAGCTTTTACCAGTATTCTCAAAATTACTAGCAGTGCCCCAAACCCATGATGTGGCCTTGGTCACCCTCATTAGGGTTGTAGTGCTGTGCAAGTACATTCCATTACTGGTGGTGGGAGGTGTGTAAGTTTTGGCACCTGTGGTCTGTACAGATAACAGGGAAATAGACCCAGCTGTAAGTGATTAAATGCCCCAGCTTGGTTGGGGTACATGGCCCCTATTCTGAGCTAACATGTGCTGTGTGACTGAAGGTGGTAAGGGAGAACATCCTGGCTGCATCTAGACTGGCATGATTTTGCCGTAAAGTTTTTCTGTTAAGTATTTGCACAAGATAGTGTCTATACTGGCATGTGCCTTTGCGCAAAAGATTTGCTTTTGTGCAAAAGCATCCGTGCCAGTGTCGATGCTCTCTTGCGCAAGAAAGCTCCAATGGCCATTTTAGCCATCGGGCTTTCTTGCGCAAGAAATTAATGTTGGGTCTACACTGGCCTCTTGCGCAAGAATACTTGCACAAGAGGGGTTATGCCTGAGCAGGAGCATCAGAGTATTTGTGCAAGAACCACTGATTTTGTATGTTACAAAGTCAGTGTTCTTGCGCAAATATTCACGGCCAGTGTAGACATGCAGCAAGACTTTGCACAAAATCATGCCAGTCTAGATGCAGCCCCCTAGTTTTCGGAGACAGTTGCTGGATGGGGTTTTTGGCCACAAGAGGAGGCAATTGTTCAAACTCACAGGCCTCATGCCTAAATACGCAGCTGTTGTAGCTGGGGCCCCTTAGGGAATTAGTAAAACCTCACAGTGCAACCTGTAGGTTGTGTCCAACCCCCTAATTGACAAGTTCTGAATCCTCTGAGCAGGGCCAAGTCAAAAGCTGGGCTGAAATGGGGATAAGGAGCAGACTCTCAAGAGAACAGCTCTGGTGCCTAGCTGGGCCTGCCCCACATCAGAGGTTATGAGTCAGTCAGGGACTATTATTGTGTGGGTGGAGGTGTGCAGTGCTGGTGCAAGGCACCTGCTCACACAGTGCTAATTGACAAGTTCTGAATCCTCTGAGCAGGGCCAAGTCAAAAGCTGGGCTGAAATGGGGATAAGGAGCAGACTCTCAAGAGAACAGCTCTGGTGCCTAGCTGGGCCTGCCCCACATCAGAGGTTATGAGTCAGTCAGGGACTATTATTGTGTGGGTGGAGGTGTGCAGTGCTGGTGCAAGGCACCTGCTCACACAGTGCAGCGCTGGTGCAAGGTGCCTGTGTGCCTTGCAGCCATCAGGGGAAGGGTTAGGGTCTCACCACCCAGCCTTCCAGGAGGATGTAACAAGTACTGCAGGCTTGGTCCAGCTCTGTCCCCAGCAAGGGAAATCAGGATGGAATGGGGTGACTGGAGTCTAGGAGCGCTGGCTCTTGCTGCACTGAGCACCAGTACCTGAAAACCCTGTGGTGACAGGTCTCAGGGAAACCCCCATACAGACACTGCCCACATCCCCATGGACCTGCTACTTTTCACTCACCTTCCCAGCAGCTTCAGGCCCCTGTGCTTTCCCCAATGCTGTGGCTGCCGGGGCTGACTGGAAGGGTGGGGAAGGGGAAGAGGCATTCCCGCTGCCTTCACTGTTCAGTTTAAAACAGAGAGGCTGGGTCTAGACTGGCAAGTTTTTCCGCTTTTGCGGAAAAATTTGCCAGCTGTCTACATTGGCCACTTGAATTTCCGCAGAAGCACTGACTTCCTGCTGTCTGAAATCAGGGCTTCTTGCGGAAATACGAGGCTGCTCCCGTTCGGGCAAAAGTCCTTTTGCGCAAAGGGCCAGTGTAGACAGCTCAGATTTGTTTTGCACAAAAAAAACCCGATCGCGAAAATGGTGATCGGGGCTTTTTTGCGGAAAAGCGCGTCTAGATTGGCACGGATGCTTTTCCACAAAAAGTGCTTTTGCAGAAAAGCGTCCGTGCCAGTCTAGACGCTGTTTTCCGCAAATGCTTTTAACGGAAAAGTTTTCCATTAAAAGCATTTGCGGAAAATCATGCCAGTCTAGATGCAGCCAGAGAGGGAGAAAGTTACCTAGTCCACCACTGCCTGGGAAGAGGGCTCTGGTCCCAGATGAGGCGATTCCTGAAGCCCCAGCTGACCAGGCTGAGTAGATTAATGGACTAGCTGGTGTTTTAGCCATCTCCTGAACAAGTGCACTGGAGCAAACAGAGGAGTTAGCTCTGGCCACATCAATTAGATTAGTGGTTCACAACTTTTTTACACTTGCAACCCCCCCAGGGAAAATTTTGATTGAGCCAAAAGAAAAAAAAAAAGCAGCCCCATTAAATTCCACTCCATTCCCCTGCCACCATGTGTACATCGGGTGCCAGAGCTGGGAAACGAAAATACCAGCTGGCCCAAATAACAGCACTGCGACCCCCCCCCTCCCTCCGGAAGTCAGTTGTGACCCGCCCCCCCTCAAGGGGGTTGCAACCCACAGGTTGTGCACCGCTGAATTAGATCACTAATTAATTTTCCTTGGAAACTGTATTGGAACTTAACTATTTTCATAAAAAATGCAGGTTGTCCAACAGACATTTCAGATTTTTTGGTTCAAGTGAATGCCTATAACCCAAAGTAATTTGATTTGGAAATACTGCCATGTGGGACATGTAGTGCAGGTGCTTCATGTCTGCAATATCCTTTCAGCCTGCTCACCAGCTGGACTATGTCTCCCATGGTACCTGATGGCTAGGGTCTTCTCTAAGAGGGGAACCTGGTGCATCATAGGAGATGTAGTCCCATGAGAGAGCCCAGCCTCCATGTTGAGTATGCTATGCATGACAAGCGCTACGGGAGTGTTTACTGAGAAAGTGTAGCTTCACTTTGGAAAAAGCCATAGACACCCACAAAACAGCAGCATAGGCAAAACTACAAGGATGGGCTTTCAGCAGAGTAGCTACAGAACGACTGCAGGGATCTTTAAAATACAAATCCCCATTGACAAAACAAGCAAATGTCTAGACAGCTTCAAATGGACTCCCCATTCCTGCAGTGTGCTGATGCTGGCTCATCTGGACATAAGAAAGGAACTAAGAATACCTTTTTTATAGGAACCAGAAAGCCTACATTGGGTCTAAAATCAGTCAGTTAGGGTTGAAGCAAAATGCAGGACAATGTAGCACTTTAAAGACTAACAAGATGGTTTATTAGATGATGGCCAGACCCACTTCCTCAGATCAAACAGTGAAGAAAATAGTCACAACCATATATACCAAAGGATACAATTAAAAAAATGAACACATATGAAAAGGACAAATCAAATTTCAGAACAAGAGGGGGATGCGGGGGGAGGAGGGGAAGGAAGGAAGGTAAGTGTCTGTGAATTGATGATATTAGAGGTGGGGAGAGTGGGATGTTTGTGAGTTAATGGTATTAGAGGTGATAATTGGGGAAGCTATCTTGGTAATGGGTGAGATAGTTCAAGTGTTTGTTGAGTCCTCTTTGGAGAGTGTTGAATTTTAACATGAATGACAGTTCAGAGGATTCCCTTTCAAGTGCAGATGTAAAAGGTCTTTGTAGCAGAATGCAGGTGGTTAAGTCATTGAGAGAGTGTCCTTTCTGGTTAAAATGGCAAGAAACTGTTTTTTCTTTGTGATCTTGTCTGATATCTGTTTTGTGAGGGTTATGCAACTGATTAATACAGGACATAACTTGTCCTGAGGCATGAAACCCTTACTAAGATCTATATACAGAGATGTAGTCTAAGGCTTGAGAAAACCAGCAGTCCCATGCAAAAACAACATAGCCAGAAAGGTCCCTGGGCTGAGGTAAACTTCAGCAAGACCTGCAATGTCTCCTAGCTGTGGTAGTAATCAAAAGAGCTGAGGAACCTGCAGACTGGGTGCAGTCACTGGTGATAGTACAAAAGAAATCTGGATCTTTGCACTTGTCTCTCTAACTCAAGGAATTTAACAGTTAACATAAGAGAACATTATCACATACCAACCAGACATGAACTCTGGAGAGCGACATCTTAGAAGCTCACCTAGAAACACAAAGCTATTTTTTGCTAGATTTAAGAGTTCACAAATAGCGAGGAGTGACAATGGCTCTCAACTTGTGAGACTTCAGAATGTGTGCAGCAGAGGAACATGGAAGTGAATATATAACTTCTGGGCATGTGCAGGACAATGGGCTGCAGAGTGTGGCATGAAAATTAAAAGAGTGTTTAGAATGCAGCATGCCTGCTAGGAAATCAGTACGACAGCTTGAGATCAAACAGGGTGAAGCTAACAAACAAAGGCACCAACAGGTGCAGAAGGGAAAAATGAAGGAATAAAAATGTCCCACTCTGCCTGTGGAAACTATGTCCTGCAGAATCTGTTCAATTTGGAAAAATGGTTCATGCAGGATCAGGCTGAGAGGACTTGCCTGGTTGCTCCCAGATCATATGAGATTCAAGCAAAGATTTTCACTGAGACAGAGCCACAAGCATCTCTTACTGATCCTAACAATAAATGTCCCAAGTAGCTACTTCCACATACAGTAAAACCACCTCTATTAGGGACATTCCAGTAATAACACCTCCCCCATGACACAGCCTGCTGAGACTATCAGAGATGTGGATTTACCAGACACCAGATCATTCAATCCCTGGGTAGGTGATCCGGGAAACGCACGGCTTGGACCACAGGAGACAGGTGCTGTCCCAAGGCTCCCAGTGCAGAAGACAGTCTCCATGGAGACATGAACACAGTACAGCACATCAGTCCAAACCCCCCAAAAGAGTCACTTGAAGCTACCGAGCAACAGCAGAATCATGACTCCCGCTGAATGAAAAAGGAGGGTGTTTAGTTTGGTGGGTTATGAAGAAAAAGAAAAGATGGATGAACACACTAATGAGATACTGCACAAACCCAGGAAGTGGCAGGCAGTCTTTTTGCTGGACCTGGGAGCAAGGCATAGCCAGCATGCTGGGCAGTCATCAACAGCCCAGCCACCTCCCCCTGTTGTTGTTTCAAAAGTGAAGGAAGAATTCTCTGCACAACACAAGTGTACTTGTCACAGACCAATGGAGCCTGGAGAGCAGCATGGTAAGCTGCATTTCCAAATCCAACTATTTTATGTCTTCGTCTTTTGCTTAATTTGCAGCCTTAGACTTGTTGGAATTTTCTATGGGAGATTTAGAGGCCAGTGTTTTGTTCCAAATTTTGCTTGATACATTCCATGGTAAATCCAATTTCTCTACCAGCTCTAGCAACAATGTTCTAAAGCAGGAGTGGCCAACCTGTGGCTCTCCAGAAATTAATATGCAGCTCCTTGTATAGGTACCAAATCCAGGGCTGTAGCAACAGGTGCCAACTTTCCACTGGGCTGGAGGGTGCTCACTGTTCAACCCCCAGCACTGTCCTACTCCCTTTTCCCCAAGGATCCTGCCACTTCCTACCTTTTCCACTGAGCCAGTCACACCTGTGCTTCCCTCCTCAGTGTCTCCCACTGAGAAAGAGCTGATAACAGTGGGCAGGAGGGAAAGGAGGCGGGGGCACTGACCAGTGGGCAGGATGTGCTGAAAATGGTGGTGGGGAGATGATCTGGACTGGTGACATATAACTGTTGCTCTTTAGCAATGTGCATTGGTAAATTCTGGATCCTGCTCAGGCTTGGGGTGGCCACCCCTGTTCTAAACAGTGCTCATGGCTGCCCTCTTCTGGGGACTTGCCCCATTCAGTCTGTTTCACTCTACCAGCAGCCCCCATGACAGACTAGTGCAAACTCCTTCCCTTTAGCAGGGAGGGGTTAATTAGGCAGAGAACAGGTACCTGTCACACTACACAGGAATATAAACACACAGGATCTTGGGGGATGATACGGCTTCTGGACTGGGCTCCAGTTCTTGGATGTGATGAGGTTAGGGGGGGTAGTTTCTGAGTTCAGGACTAAATCCAGTAGCCTAGGATCTGAAGGAGGCTCTAATTCTTCTTCATTAGGCTGCCAGAGCTCTTGGAGGCTGTTGGTGGAGTTCCCTGCGGCAGAGAAAGAGAGAATGAGAATCAGTCACTGAACTCTTCTAGGCTGAAGATATAATAGCCCCCC